TCTCTCTCTCTCTCTCTCTCAATATGATTAGAGTAGATGTAAAGTCAATCGGATTAACAAAACAAAACAAAACAAAAAAGTTAAAAATAGAAATCAAACAAAAGTTTTGTTTCACTTTCTATTGATATCTCACACAAAAATAAATGATGAAATGAATGAAACATTTGCCTTAAGATGTATTTCTCTATTGATTTAATCTCAACTCACTTTTTATGCTCTTTCTCTTCGGCACAGCATTTGATGTTTGGATCGATTTTTGTTGACATTATATATATTTATTTGATTTTTTGTTTGAAAAAATCAATTGATTGCAAAAATACTCAATGAATGTTACAATAAATCATTTGAAAGAAATCTCGCAAATATTTTGAGCCCCAGAGGCAACACATTTCCGCTCATTTGATGGCAAATAAAAGCAAATTTTTTACAAAACAAAATACACTTTGATTTAAAATAATCATTAACTGAATTGACAGTAAAATATATGAGAAAAACAATGAAAACAATGTGTGTATCAATACCTTCAACAGTGAGGACAACGTATTGAGAATCAGATCCCAAATTATTCCTCACAAGACATGAATAATTGGCCGCATCTGAAGACACTAGCGATGCGATCGTAAGCGTCGAGAATCGGTCAAAATTATCAATTTTATAGTTCACTTCCGGACCCGATCTCAATGTCTGGCCATTTCTGGACCACTCGAAGAAAAAAGGTTGCGAACCCTTCTTAACGGAGCAAAACTGCTGGTAATACGAGCCCTCAGTTTGGCTATTGTATGGCAAATGAGGTTTCAATTTGGGAACTATTTTGAGAAAACTATTGATTAAACAATTATTCTTTCAATAAGCCTTTAAAATACCTTCACTTGCGTTCAAATGTATGGCAAAACACAACAAAACACATATTATATGCAAACACTCCGAAGACATCGTGAATATGAAATGAGAGAGACTTATGGCAGATATGAAGCAAACACTCAATAGTCTATTGTATGGCAGAAAATATATACCGAAAGATCAGACGTTTGCGCCACACTTTGCTTTGCATACGATTTGTTAAACAAGGTTTTTAGACACCAGTTATCGTCAAAAAATATATCACATCAAAAAAATGTATACCAAATATTCAACATTACATATATTGAGTGCAAAGATTTACTGTTAATTATAAACAAAAAGTCCTATTCATAGGAATTTTCAGACAAAAAAATAGTAATAAATCTTTTGCTTTCAAAACAGAAGTCTTTTCATAATATGTTTTATATAATTGTCATAAAATAAACACATTTAAGATTCAAACGCAAAATTAAGCAAAAACTAATTTTTTGCTGTTTTTTGTTAAAACAAATCGCATTACAAACAGTCTTTCAACACTTACTGCACATTATTTACATATCATCTCAACGGATAGATAATGAGATGATATGTTTAGTGTATTATTTATAATAGCATACCTTTAACCGTAAGCAAAATGCTCTGGGAATCGGTGCCAAAGCCATTACTGACTAAACATTTGTAATTTCCTGAATCCCTTTTGTGGACGCCGTCGATGGCCAGAGTGGACGACCGGTTCTGCATATCAATCCTCCGGTGGCTGTCGGCCGCCATCGGCAGCGACTGTCCATTAAAAAGCCACTTAAACTGGAAAGGCATCGATCCTTCCTCTGCGGCACACATTTGCTGAAAGTATGACTTTTCGGTTATACTTCTCTCAAACATAAACGCAGATAATTTTGGCACTAATTTTGTCACACATTATGAAGAAGTGGTGGAAGAAGAAGAAGAAAACGACAGAATATATTATGCAATTTATGGCACATTAAAAACTGGTCTAATATTTATAATACCTCTGCTGTCAGACAGTGTTTGTCGGATCATAAATAAGACAAACAGTGTATGAAGTAATGCCTTTGAAGACATGGTATGGATGTACTGTACTGTATATATGATGTGCGGCAATGGGTTATGACAGACACTAAATGATAAAGTGCTTCATATTATGGCTGACATTAAAAATGTTATATTTTTTTCTCTGCTTCCCATTCACTGAAGACTAGAAATTATGAGAAATATTATTTTCTAGTGGTTATGACAGATATATTGCGCGCACATTGAATGGCAAACAATTTGGTGGCAAAAAATCAAATCAACACAAAAATCACTGATTTTTTTGCTAATAAAACCAACACTTTTTTGGGTGAGAAATATTTTTTATAAGATAACAACACCTCATAATAGTTATCTCGTAATGAAATATTTCATTACACATAATGTAAATATTATTTAAAAAAAATAGTAATACTTTAAAATATATTTTATGTCAAATATTTTTATGTTAGATATTTTACAACACATAATGAAAAACACATTTGATATGAAAAGTACAACAAATCACACGAAGAGACAAAACAAACACAAAATCTATCGATCCATACCTTCGACAGTCAATAAGACAATCTGGGAATCGGTGCCAAACCTATTGCTCACAAAACAGCTATAATTTCCAGCATCTCTTCGCCCAACACTCTGGACAGTAAGTGTGGAAAATGTGTGAAAATTATCGATCTTATAATGGGATGAATTATTTGCACTGTTGGCCAACAACTGGCCGTTTTTGTGCCACTCGTACGTCAGTGGCTGTGAACCACTTTCAACGGTACAGAATATTTGCAGAATTGAATTCTGGCTTTGATTCTTAGAGCGGAGCACAGGTGCAAGTTTGGGACCTGATTGAACAAGGTAATCACCAGCATGTAATTGATTAATATATCATTAGTATTGTTCAGTTTAATGCTATTATCGGTCAAATACCTGAGCCCTGTGTCTGAGCCGTACAGGAAATATACGATATTAACGCAAAGCCGTATAATAAACATCTGAAACACATTATGAATGAGTGCTTAATATATAGTGAAAACTAATGGCTGACAATAGATTGTGGCAAATAATGAGCGCTTATGAGAGAGATTAATATCATAATAGATTTTGTGGTATATATTGCGCCACATATTGTGTGAGACAATCAATTTTGGTAAACAATAGTTGCGTTCAAAACTTTAAAACGCTTTAAAAGTTTAAACAAAATGTTGCATAATTTAAAACATTAGGAATTAATATATTTTACATTTTTAAATATCGTTAAACTTAATTAATTCATACCTTTAATGGTAAGCAAAACATTTTGAGTGTCAGAACCGAAAGCATTGCTAACAAAACAACTATAATTTCCGGCATCTCTTCTCTCGATCTTTGATATCGAAAACGTCGAAAACTTATCGAAATTATCGATCTTATAGTCGACTCCCGGACTCGGCTTAAGTGTCCGTCCGTTTCGGGACCACTCAAAAAACACGGGCAAAGATCCGATCTCTACCGTACAAAACACCTGAAAGTGACTCCCAATGGATAGGCCTTTATGTGATACAATTGATCCTAATTTTGGCGCTAATATGGATAACAGTTTAAATTAATTTATATAATTATAACAATTGTCTCATTTTGTTGCGATAACACCTGAAAGTGACTCCCAATGGATAGGCCTTTATGTGATACAATTGATCCTAATTTTGGCGCTAATATGGATAACAGTTTAAATTAATTTATATAATTATAACAATTGTCTCATTTTGTTGCGATTATAATACCTGAAGAGTCGTCAGAATAAACACCATTTAATACGATTAAAACAGAAATGAATTTTAAGTACATGTTTGAATGCAAATGAAGAGTGAATTTCAGCAGAAAATAATGGCCGACTTTAATGTCAGGAAAAAAGTATATTTTGAGACAAAATAGTTGTCAGAAAACAAGAGATGTTTGGATATATTGCGCCACACATTGATTCACAACACAATTGGCAAACATTTGGCAAACAATATCCACATTATATAAGTGACCAAATATTTAGTTACAACTTATTTTATATTCTCGGCATAAATACAATATTTAATAATTGATTTCTAATAGAAATAATTAAATATAATTTTCTACCTCTTATTGACAAATCAATACTCTGTCCGTCACTTCCGAACCCATTGTTTACAAGACATGAATAATTTCCGGCATCTCTTCTCTCAATACTCTTTATGGTAAAAGTGGACGACATCTCAAAGTTATCTATTTTATAGTTAACACCAGGACTTGGTTTGAGTGACTGTCCATTTCGTGTCCACTCAAAGAACACGGGAAGAGATCCCTCTTCTATAGAACAGCTCACATGAAATATTGAGCCAATCGTTTGACTCCTATTATAGAGTTTAAGTAATTTTGGCGCTGTTTTGATGGCAAATAAAATTATTACATTAAAATCAGATCCAGAATTTGATCACATGTGGTATACCTGATGAATATGAGACCACAATCTGATTCAATATAACGATAATTGCAATACATTTATAACAATATTTGCACCACATTTTGGATTCACTCAAGAATTGTTTGGCAAACAATGGCTGACATGAGATATAAAAGTGCTTTTCAGATACAAATTGCATACTATTTTCTGGAAGATATTTCGGATATATTGCGCCACCACTTGATTCACAACACTATTTGTTATCGTATTTATCATTAATATAAGCTATGTTTTCATAAGTAAAGTGTAAGACATGTCAAAGTATATGCAAAGCTTACATCACATATTTTTAATAATTTTTAAAAAGTAAAAAACGATAAAATTAAAATTAAAAAGTAATAATAATTTAAATAGTATTCTCATTTATAATAAGATTAAAAGCAAAACCTTTTATTGAAAGCAAAACGGATTGACTATCACTTCCGAAGGCATTCTTCACAAGACATGTATAATTTCCGGCATCTCTTCTATCAATGCTTTCGATAATAAAAGTTGAATGCATTTTGAAATTTTCAATCTTATAGTTAACTTCGGGACTAGTTTTGAGTGACTGTCCATTTCGTGTCCACTCAAAGAATACGGGAACAGATCCCGAATCTATGGAGCAAAACACATGAAAGGAACTTCCAATGGATAGACTCTTGTGGGACACAATTGAACCCAACTTTGGCACTGATTTTAATGGAAATTAATATTTAATTACTTATTTTTCAATTAAATACCAGTAATTATAATACCTGAACAATGAATGCCATTTAAAACACAAATAATAATAAAACTAATGAAATTGTATTCACACATTTTGTATATCGACTCAAATGATGTTAAATACAAAACAATGGCTGACTTTAATGTCAAGAAAAAATATTTTGAGACAAAATAGTTGTCAAATAACATGAAATGTATGGATATATTGCGCCACACATTGATTCACAACACAATTTATGATCATATTTAGCCATTATATAAGTCAATATGTTTTACAACTAAACTGTAAGGCAATGTCTGCAGAATATCTGTAAACTGTTATATTAGATAACTATTTGTAATAATTATTAAAACAAGTGTACAATCGACATGACAGTAATCTGCTATTAATCCTCGTAGCATTGTGCCTGGCCTGCGATATATTAACCCGAGTGTATGCTTATACTGAATACAACGCTTTAATACAATTCTAGCGCATAAACAAGTGTACAATCGACATGACAGTAATCTGCTATTAATCCTCGTAGCATTGTGCCTGGCCTGCGATATATTAACCCGAGTGTATGCTTATACTGAATACAACGCTTTAATACAATTCTAGCGCATTCTGTGAGCAATTTTTGAAATTATAATTTTTCTATGGGAGAGTATATGGGGGAGGGTTTTTTCCCGACGGCAATATCTCGAAAATTCCAACATAAAATTTTTTCTTGATATTACATTCCTATCCTACATTTTATGATCTACACGATGGGCATAGTCAAATAGGGTGGTCCAAAAAAAACGTTCACATGTGAAGTGAATTGTATAGATTACTGTGAAATTATTAAAATTACATGATTGTGAAATAAACACTTATTTAAATAAAATATAAATAATAATCAAACCTTTGATTGAAAGCAACACAAACTGAGTGTCAGAACCGATAGCATTAGTGGCCAGACATGAATAGTTGGCCGCATCTCTCGTATCAATCGCTTTGATAGTAAATATTGAAAACATATCAAAGTTTTCAATCTTATAGTTCGATTCGGGACTCGGATTAAGTGTCCGACCATTTCGTGACCACTCGAACCGTACGGGCGCTGAACCCGACTCTACGGTACAAAACACTTGGAAACGACTCCCTATTAACAGACTCTTATGGGACACAATTGAGCCTAACTTTGGCACTAATTTGAATGAAAACCTTTATTAATTGTTTGAATTAAATAGATTTGCTTTTATTATAATACCTGAACAATAGATACCATTGAATATAATTAAAATAAGTGAAACTTTCGCAATATATTTACACATTTTGAATGAAATGATATATAATTATGAGTTTCAATATAATGGCCGACTTTGAGGTCTAAAATACACAGTATTTTCAGACAAATACAAAACAAGAAATGTATGGATATATTGCGCCACACATTGATTCACAACACAATTGGTTTTAAGATATTTTGTGTTTATTATAAGGAATATTCTCTATGACTGAACTGTAAGGCAAGTATAACATACCAAAAAGTATATGCATTATAAAAAACCAACCTTTCTTAAAGAATTTTCATATTAAATAATAATAATACACTTTTAATAGCAGAAAGTTATAATAATTAAAGCAAAATTATTCACCATTTATTGATAATAGGGTCAATTGCCTGTCAGAACCGAAAGCATTTCTTACAAGACATGTATAGTTAGCCGAGTCTTTCATTTCAATCTTCTTTATAGTAAGTGTTGAAAACATTTCAAAATTTTCAATCTTATAGTTAACTTCGGGACTGGTTTTGAGTGTCTGTCCATTTCGTAACCACTCGTAAAACACGGGCAAAGACCCGGTCTCTACTGTACAAAACACTTGGAAATTGGATCCAATTGTTTGATCCTTTTGTTTGACACCTTTGGCTAATTTAGGGGCTGTTATGAGACAAATGCTAACATTTAATATCAATTCTTATAATTAATGGCAACAAAAAATACCTGAAGACTGAGAGGAATAGACACCATTTGAAACAAATAAAATACAAACAACTGAATTGATGAACACATTAAATGACAACATTTTGCGAACTTTTAACTCAATGATATGCTTATGGAAAATAATGGCTGACATTATTGTCGAAGATTTGAGACAAAAATTGTAAAAATAACCACAAAATAGAGGATATATTGCGCCACACATTGAATCACAACACAATTTGTTGGTATATTTAACTCTCATAGAGTATACAACTGTATATAATGTTCAGCTACGAAGGGTTTAATAGGATTTTCAATGTAAATTATAATTATTAAATCAATTAAAAAAGTTATAAAATAAACTCCTAATTATTTGAATTAATTACGTAAACATTTTTACCATTAATTGATAGCAGAACTGATTGACTGTCAGATCCGAAGGCATTCTTCACAAAACATGTATAATTTCCGGAATCAAATTTTTCAATGCCTTTAATAGCAAATGTCGAAAACATGTCATTGTTCTCAATCTTATAATTAACTTCGGGACCAGTTTTGAGTGACTGTCCATTTCGTGACCACTCATAAAACACAGGCAAAGATCCCGAGTCTATAGAACACATGACATTAAAATTACTTCCAATGGATTGACTCCTATGGGACACAATTGGGCCCAACTTTGGCACTGATTTTAATGAAAATATGTATTAATTCATTAAATCAAATAAATATTTATCAATTGTATAATACCTGAACAATAAATGCCATTTAAAACACACAAAATAAATGCAACACTCAATAGATATTTGGACAACATTTTAGAAATCACTCAAAGAATAGACAAGAAAATAATGGCTGACTTTAATGAAAGGAAAATATATTTTTCAAACAAAATACTGTTAAATACAAGAAATGTATGGATATATTGCGCCACACATTGATTCACAACACAATTGGTTTAAATATATTTTATGTGTTTTATTATAAGGAATATTCTCTATGACTGAACTGTAAAGCGATTTTAATACACGTAAAACTATGTGTATTATATTGTATGATATCTCAAAATATTTTCAAATGAATTTCATGGTAAATATATCTAGTAATTACATGATATACTGTATATTTAAAATAAATATAATAATTATTCACCATTTATTGATAATAGAGTCGATTGTCTGTCAGAACCAAAAGCATTGCTCACAAGACATGTATAATTAGCCGAGTCTTTCATTTCAATCTTCTCAATAATAAATGTTGAAAACATTTTAAAGTTTTCAATTTTATAATTAACTTCGGGATTGGTTTTGAGTGTCTGTCCATTTCGTAACCACTCGTAAAACATGGGCAAAGATCCCGACTCTATAGTGCATAACACCTGAAAGTAAGTGCCAATAGACTGATCCTTTTGTGCAAAGATTTTGGCTAATTTAGGGGCTGTTATGAGACAAATGCTAACATTTAGTAACAATTTTAATGATTAATCTCCACAAAGAATACCTGAAGACTGAGAGGAATAGACATCATTTGAAACAAATAAAATACAAACAATTGAATTGATAAACACATTAAATGACAACATTTTGCAGACTTATAACTCAATAATATGCTTATGAAAAATAATGGCTGACATTATTGTCGAAGATCTGAGACAAAAATTGTGAAAATAACCACAAAATAGAGGATATATTGCGCCACACATTGAATCACAACACAATTTGTTGGTATATTTAACTCTCATAGAGTATACAAATGTATATAATGTTCAGCTACGAAGGGTTTAATAGGATTTTCAATGTAAATTATAATTATTAAATCAATTTAAAAAGTTATAAAATAAACTCCTAATTATTTGAATTAATTACGTAAACATTTTTACCATTAATTGATAGCAGAACTGATTGACTGTCAGATCCGAAGGCATTCTTCACAAAACATGTATAATTTCCGTAGAATAGACAAGAAAATAATGGCTGACTTTAATGAAAGGAAAATATATTTTTCAAACAAAATACTGTTAAATACAAGAAATGTATGGATATATTGCGCCACACATTGATTCACAACACAATTGGTTTTAAGATATTTCATGTGTTTATTATAAGGAATATTCTCAATGAGTGAACTGTAAGGCAAATATAATAAACCAAAAACATCAGAAATATAAAATATCAAAGAATATTTTCAAATAATTCCATAGTAAATATATTTGGAAATTACATTATTTATATAAATATTAAAAAATATATATTAAAATTATTCACCATTTATTGATAATAGAGTCGATTGTCTGTCAGAACCGAAAGCATTGCTCACAAGACATGTATAATTAGCCGCATCTTTGGTCTCAATCTTCTCAATAATAAAAGTAGAAAACATTTTTGAGTTTTCAATCTTATAGTTAACTTCGGGACTGGTTTTGAGTGTCTGTCCATTTCGTAACCACTCGTAAAACACGGGTAAAGACCCGGTTTCTAATGCACACAACACATGAAAATAAGATCCTATGGTCTGATCCTTTTGTTTGAAAGCTTTGGTTAATTTAGGGGCTGTTATGAGATAAACGCTAATAATTAATATCAATTCTCATTAATACTCTCAACACAAAATACCTGAAGACTGAGAGGAATAAACATCATTTGAAACAAATAAAATACAAACAACTGAATTGATAAACACATTGAAAGACAACATTTTGCAGACTTATAACTCAATGATATGCTTATGGAAAATAATGGCTGACTTTAATGTCGAAGATTTGAGACTAAATATTATGAAAATAACCACAAAATAGTGGATATATTGCGCCACACATTGATTCACAACACAATTTGTTGGTATATTTATCTTTCATAGAGTATACAAATGTATATTATGTTCAATAAGTGAACAACTGTAAGGGTTTGTATGATTTTCTATACATTTTGTAAATTTAAAGATCATGAATAATTCTAAAGATTATATATTTAATATTTTAATTAAATTATACAAATATTTTTACCATTAATTGACAATAAAACCGACTGACTATCAGATCCCAAAGCATTCTTCACAAGACATGTATAGTTTCCGGAATCAGTTCTTGTGATCTCATCGATAGAAAAAGTGGAATACTTTTTATAATTTTCAATCTTATAGTTAGTGTCGGGACTCGACTTAATTTGTTGGCCATTTCGTGACCACTCGTAAAACACGGGCAAAGATCCCGACTCTACGTTACAAAACACTTGAAAATTACTTCCAATGGATAGACTCTTATGGGACACAATTGAACCCAATTTTGGCACTGATTTTAATGGAAATATATATTAATTCATTAAATCAAATATATTTATCGATTGTATAATACCTGAACAATAAATGCCATTTAAAACACACAAAATAAATGCAACACTCAATAGATATTTAGACAACACGAGGGCACAGCTCGAAATTACGGCTCGTAATTAATTAGTCAAAATAATTGATTATTATAAAACGGTTTTAATTCTAAGTGATTATCCCACAGTCAGTTACACAAACGTACAAACGTAAAGTAACTTGACTCAAATGTCATTCTACCTCTATATCGCCGCTTCTAATAGTAAAGGAGATTTTAAAGATCACTCAAAAAGTAGACAAGAAAATAATGGCTGACTTTAAATCTTGAAATATATTATCAAACAAATAGTGTACAAAACAAGAAATGCATGGATATATTGCGCCACACATTGATTCACAACACAATTGGTTTAAATATATTTTTATATATTCAGCAGTTATATGGGAAACATTGCCATATAACTAAACTGTAAGCGTATCAGTTAATTTCAGTTACCTTATATTTACAAAAACCTAATATTAATAATAAGTTAATTAAATTTGTACAAAACTTAAAAATAAATCCTATAATTAAACTATAATTTAATATAATATTAAAATAAACCTTTAATTGACAACAAGACTGTGTGTCTGTCGTCTCCCAAAGCATTCTTCACAAGACATGAATAGTTTCCGGAATCACTTCTTCAATACTTTTTATATTAAATGATGAATGAGTTTCAAAGTTATCTATTTTATAGAATTGAAGCCCTGGTCAAGACTCACTGACAGGTAAAGACCTGGTGAGTTTCTTGTGCCCTTCTCTAGGGAGAAGATTACTTGTGCAATATACTTTATAACTCGGTTATCAGACACTGAATACCGAATAAGTCGGTCCTAATTTGGGTACTATTTATGAGATAAAAAGTATATTTAGTTTTGCAAACAATTATTTCCCTCTTCTAATGAACACGTTATATGAAATATTGAGCCAATAGTCTGTGACTTATGGCTTAAAGTCGGTCCTAATTTGGGTACTATTTATGAGATAAAAAGTATATTTAGTTTTGCAAACAATTATAGAGACAATAATCGGATGAATACCTGAAGAAGAATTCGTATAACTATTGAATTGAAGTAAAATAATAGCGAAAACCAAACACTTGTAGTCCATTGTGTGGACTCGTATTCAACACTAAACTAAATAATGGCTGACTTTATGTCAAGAAAATACGATTTCAGACAAAAACAGTACATAAGAAGAGATCAAATGTATGGATATATTGCGCCACACATTGATTCACAACACAATTGGCAAACATTTGGCGCAAAATTGTGAATATGTTTGGATTTTATGTGGGAATCATTGATAAATAAATCATTTGATTTACTTGTTATCATTATAAATATAAACTTATAATGACATTTAAATTTAGAAATATTGCAAATTGTTTTGTTCCCTCGGGTTTAATAAAATTAAACTAAAATAAATATGATTACCATTTATTGAGAGCACAACCGATATATTGTCAGAACCGAAACCATTGCTCGCAAGACATGTATAGTTTGCGGAATCATTCCTCTGGATTTCATCGATAGAAAAAGTTGAATATTTCTTGAAGTTTTCGATCTTATAGTTGACATCCGGACCCGACCTGAGTGTCTGTCCGTTTCGGAACCACTCGTAAAACACGGGCAAAGATCCCGACTCTAAGTTACAGAATATCTGAAAGTAGGTTCCTATGGGTTGTGTCTTATGAGACACATGTTTGGCCAGTTTTGGCGCTGATTTCAATGCAAATACAGGTATTAAACAAATGAAATGTCGTTTCAATAGATATAATACCTGACGATTGAGTGGAGGAAACATAAGTTAAAACAATTGTTATAAAAACTAACACAGAATTTAACTCAATTTTAGGCAACATTTTTCACAAACAAACAACTCATAGAAATGTTATATCAAAATAATGGCCGACTTTTATGTCAAATAATTTCTCAGACAAAGTATAATATGAAACAAGAAGTGAATGAAGATACCCAATACAATTGTGGATATATTATATGTATTTATACAACACATGTAATCAATGAGAGAACTGTAAGAACAATACTTTTGAGAATCCAATGAAATATAATCTCAAAAATGCTTAAAATTTATAATTAATTTTTGGCAATAGATTTAGTAAAATATATAACTATATAATTATTATTACCATTAATTGAAAGAAAAGTCGACTGTCTATCAGAACCAAAAGCGTTGCTCACAAGACATGTATAGTTCGCGGAATCACTTCTTGTGATTTCATCGATAGTAAGTGTGGAGAACTTCTTAGAGCTCTCTATCTTATAGTTCGCTTCGGGACTCGGCTTAAGTGACCGACCATTTTGTGACCACTCGAAGAATACGGGATGAGATCCCGACTCTAGCGTACAAAACACTTGGAAGTCAGTGCTTATCGATTGACTTTTATGTGATATTTGTTTTGACAATTTCGGAGCTGATATGAATTCAATCATTAATTGATTATAAAATTGCAAACATAATTAAAATATCGAGAGTATATACCTGTAGATTGAGTGCAATAAACATAATACACACCAATTAACAAACAAATGTATATTGTGTTTAACACAGAGTTGGACAACATTTTGCAATCAACTACTCATTGAAAAATACAACAAAATAATGGCCGACTATTTTGGCAAAGATTTTTGACTAAAGTATTGATAAATCTAATGTTAGAGAAGGATATATTGCGCCACACATTGATTCACAACACAATTGGTTTTAATATATTATATGTACCGTATATTTGACTCGTATATGGGATACATTGCCAAAAAATGAACTGTAAGAATACTGTCATTCACTATAAGTTTTCAATTTAGTTATGCATTAAATATAATT